GCTGTTAGTGTCCTTCTCAACTCCAATGAGCCAATCTTGGAGGTACTTTAAAATAACAGTCACTCCAGGTGGGGAACCCTCTGGCTGGGCTGGAGTTTGAGGAAACCGGCTTAAGTGGCCACCCACAGCTCAAGGGGTTGCACACAAACACTTCATACCAAGGTCAGTAATTATAGTTTCTACTTGGTTCCACTTAGTGCCAGCTGTGGAGTCGAGCTGCCTCTCCCCACTGCTGGTGGAGGGTAGGTTGGTTAGTTCAAAAGCATGTCTTGATCATCTGCTGAATGTCGACTACTGTGTCAGGGAGCTGAGGAGGAAAGAAGAGGAGGAAGCACAATAAGAAACAGACCAAGAAATGCCACCATCAGCAGCACTTTGTAGGACCCAGCTAGAAGCCAAGAAATAACCATGTTTAAAGGCTCAGGGATGCCAAGGGCCCTGTATCAAACCCTTTTGACACCTAGCTGATCACCCACACAGGAAATTGTTAAATATACAGATTTCCAGGTCAACCTGGGACCACAGAAGCAGATTCCCCAGGGTGAGGACCCAGGATACTGATCTTTAGCAAGCTCCTTGGGTGATTCTGGTGGTGCCCACCTGACACTGGTCTGAGGATAGATGTTGAGAAAACACTACACTAAGTGGAATATGAGGAAGGACTTTGAGGCCCACAGATCTCAGTTCAAATTCTGGGTCCAAGGCACAAAAAAGACCAAACATAAAAGAAAAAATTGATTAAGTCAAACCCTGTCAAAATAAAAATCTTCTGCTATTCAAGAGATACTACTGTGTGGAGTGCCTGGGTGGATCAGTCAGTTAAGCATCCGACTCTTGATTTTGGCTCAGGTCATGATCTCAGTGTGGTGAGATCGAGCCTCGCATTGGCTCTGCACTGGGCGTGGAGCCTCCTTGGGATTCTCCCTCTTCCTCTCCCTCTGCCCCTCCCTCCACTCGAGGTCTCTCTCTCTCAAATAAATAAATAAATCTTTAAAAAGAGAGAGAGAAAGAGAGAGATACTACTGTGAAAATGAAGAGACAAGCAACTGACAGAGAAAATATCAGCAAAGCATACACTGTATCTAATAAAGGACTGATATCCAGAATATAAAAAGAACTCTCAAAACTCAATAACAAGCCAATAAAAAACAAACCCAATAAACAACCCATTTTTTAAACTGGATTAAAAAAATTGAACATTCACCAAAGAAGAAATACAAATGGCAGATCAACACATGAGAAGTTACTCAACATTAGGAAAAGCAAATTAAAACCACAACAAGATACCACAGCTGTCGATTAGGATGGCTTCAGTCAAACCCTAGGTGTAATGATTACTGTTTCTAAAAGCTCTGGCAAAGCGCTTGACCACCCCATGCCTTAGTTTACACAGCTTTAAGATGGGCATAATACCCACCCTGTAGGGTTATTGTCAAAATTTTATGAAATAATGTATCTAGTAGGGCTTGTAGTAAATACTAAGTACCTTTAGTTCCCTTCCATTACCCCTTTTTTCCTTATACCAGGGATCTGAATCATCTATTCAATTTTTTTTAAGATTTTATTTATTTATTTGAGAGAGAGAGAATGAGAGACAGAGAGCATGAGAGGGAGGAAGGTCAGAGGGAGAAGCAGACTCCCTGCCGAGCAGGGAGCCCGATGCGGGACTCGATCCCGGGACTCCAGGATCATGACCTGAGCCGAAGGCAGTCGCTTAACCAACTGAGCCACCCAGGCGCCCTCTATTCAATTTTTTACTCTTAATCTCTACACAATGTAAAGCCTAATTATCGTGTTCCAGTTTATAGGAAAACAGGCTGATAGGCCCACTGACAGCAGGGGGAAAGAACCGCAAAGGCGCACGTGATGGGGTACTCACATCCATTCATTCACCTGTTCAGCCCCATTTCCTGAGCACCTGATGCCTTCAGGCACTGCCCTAGAATCTAAGGGAAAGTGGAGACTCCAGGAGCTCAAGGAGCTCTGGTTCCCATGGGGGACAAAGAAGGATTCTACTAACCAAGTCTCTCCCAGTTGCAAATAATAGAACCCCAGTTCACACCAGCTTTGGGACATTGACTACCACTTTTGATGGGAAAGCTCCAGGTTCCCAGCGCTGGGGAAAAACAGAAACCGGAGCTTCTGGAGCTCACACTAGGGACTCAAAACGCCAAGACTCTCCCCAGACCTTTCTTGTCCCTGCTTGTCTCTCTTCCTTTCATGGCGGCCTCGCTCTCCCCACAGCCATAGCCTTCTCCACGGCCCAAGCGCTTGAACCTGGCAACCTTAGCAGCTCCCGCAAAAGAGCGTCCCTTTCTCCCACGGAAGGATTTTGATTGGCCTGCTTGGGTGACACGCCTATCTTTTGGACCAATCACCTTTGCCAAGTTAGGTAGTCACGTGCTATCTTGCGCTTGCCTTCCACAGAAAGCAGAGTCAGCGACAACGTCGATGCAGGTAATTCTCATTCAGAAGATGATTGCAGGAAGCAGGCATGAGGAGAGTAAAATGGGGTGCTGAGAAAGCCAGTGAAGGGTGAGTTATTGAGCCGGCGAGCGCCAGAGGCCGTGTGGAGTACACCGCAGGATTGACCCCTGAAGGACTGGAGGCTGAAGCACTTCTCACCCTACCCCTTGTCCCCCAGTGGTTAAGGATTGCCCCTCCCCTCCCCTTCCAGGCTGTCCCAGTGCAAGGGCTGAGGCAGCTTCCAGGACTTCAAGGCCAGGTGCTGCTTGCAGCGGATGGAGCTGTCCAACACCACCGTGTGTGAATTGGCAGTGGGGATGAGATGGGAGACACAAGGGCATCTGCTACTGCGCGAGGAGAGCAAAGTCTGATCAATAAAGAAGGGTGTGAGAAGGTTTGGGGGCTAAACCCAATCAGCAGCCCCCACAATCTGGCGTACCTCTCCACCAATAGTTATAATACAGCAAATAGGATGGTAATGCAAGGTACCCAGGAGGGGAACTCTACGGGGGTGCACGAGGACTCACAGATTGCTCCCCCAGAGCTGCTGCCCAAGCCAGGGTCAGTAGGGCCCAGAACAGGCTCAAAGCACCCCATCCCCACGTGCCTCTTCTCTCACCTCCCTGTTTATTATATTCTCACCTTCAGCGGCCAGGCTGGGCAGGGATGTCCCACTGCTCCAGCTCCTGGACCCTGAGCAGTGATGACAGAAAATCCATTCTGGACCTGCTCTTCCCATTCCTGCACAAGGGAATGGGGGGAAAAAACATATCCCAGCCAAATATTGAACCTTTCTTCTTTCTACTTTACCAGTGCCTCCCAGGAGGGGAGATAAAGTTCTCCACTATTGCTAAGAGAAGCAGACACTCAGAACATGAAGCAAGAATCCAGAGCTGCAGGGCACCTGGATGGCTCAGTCGGTTAAGCCGCTGCCTTCGGCTCAGGTCATGATCCCAGGGTCCTGGGATCGAGCCCCACATAGGGCTCCCTGCTCAGGGGGGAGCCTGCTTCTCCCTCTGCCTCTGCCTGCCTCTCTGCCTACTTGTTCTCTCTCTCTCTCTCTGTCAAATAAATAAATAAAATCTTTAAAAAAATTTAAAAAAAGGAATCCAGAGCTGCCTTCAGCCTGGTCCAAAAGGCCAGGGTGAGCTGTTTCTGGGTGACTTGAATCCATGGACACAGGGATGGACCTTAAAAGGATGGGATCTAGGAGGAGGGGGTGCTGTTTACCTGGCCCACCTTACTGGGCTCCAGACTCTTGGCTTTCTAAGTCAGGTAAGGCCCATCTGGCCCAGGTACCCATAATATCTAGAAATGTTCTTGAATTGGACTTCATGAAAAGGACAAAGAATTGATATTTTTTTGTTTTTCACTTTTTTTAAGATTTTATTTATTTATTTGACAGAGAGAGATACAGCAAGAGAGGGAACACATGCAGAGAGAGTGAGAGAGGGAGAAGCAGGCTTCCCACTGAGCGGGGAGCCCAATGCGGGGCTCAATCCCAGGACCCTGGGATCATGACCTGAGCCGAAGGCAGACGCTTAACGACTGAGCCACCCAGGAACCCCAAGAATTGATGTTTTAAATGATGGAACTCTTCCAGGCTCAGAAAAAGAGGTCAATACAATTAACTTTGCAGAAAATATTTTGATTTTCATTATTGGCCAATACTAATAGAGCGTCAACTCTGTGCCAGGCCCTCTTCTAAGGGCTTATTTAATCATTACAATTTTATGAGGTAGAAACGATTATTATCTCCATTTTATAAATGAGGAAACTAAGTTCCAGCAAGGTTAAGAAACTTGCCTGAGGGTGCACAGCTAGAATGTGGCAGAGCTCATTGACAGTACCCTACACTGCCTCTCAAGTGTAATTAACAACCATAGCAGCTGGTAAGAAACATACGGTCAGGATTGGCTGAGAAGATACTCTGGTTGACATAGAATCTGTTCTGTATTTTGCAGACTTTGGATCTTGAGCAACCAATACTCTGGTTGACATACAATCTGTTCTGTATTTTGCAGACTTTGGACCTTCTCTGGGGGTCCCATGCTGCTGCCACTGTACAAGAGATTTGGCATTGTCTCCAGTTCTTTGTTGTTATTTGCATATTGTCCCATCCCCTATAGCTGCTCAAAGTTCACCTGAGCACCGATTCTTTCTCAAGAGTGTTCCTGAGATGTTGGTGCGCTCTGGGTTATAGTCTGCAGAACGCCAGCTCTGATGGATGAGGGGCAGTGGCCCCCTTCTGGGTACGCTGGTGCAGCTCTCCCACCTGGGAGCTCTGTGATTGCACGGCCCACACGATGCTGCGTGACCATCCTCCCTTCAGCAGTAAGTGAGTGTGGTAGGGGACGATTCTGGTTCTTTGGGCAGCAAGAGCAACTTCCTGATTGAAACAGATCCTCCACTGGACAGAAATGTGAATGTCTTGACCTTTCCTGAGTAGCATCATTAATCACCCCCAGCTTCCACATCCCAGCAGTGTTCATGTTTAACCTCATTTCTTAGCCAAGAGCCAGTGGTTTCCACACCTGGTGAGGAGTGCCATCAGTCAGAAGAGCAGGGAGGTGGGGGGTCTCAGAAGACCTCTGGAGCCTTCATAACTACATAGCAGCGGCCAGGTGGTTGTGGTCCAAAGGGGTTAAGGAAAGGAAGCAGGCTGGGTAAGTGGGTAGTCCTGTGAAGGAGAAGTTTGCAGACACCCCCTCCAGAAACTTTTCTGAGCCTTGGCCCCATAAAGAATAGGGAAGAAGAGGGGAAGGAGGGAAACCCCAAAGAGCTGTGCAGCAGCAGTGGTCCTGGCTGGTCCTTCCCATCCAAGGGGCCAGGATATTCTAGAACTACTGAGCCTACCCAGGGAGGGTTCTGAGATTTGATTATGCCTCCAGTGTAAGCACCTACTGTCTACATCTCTCTCCAAAACAGAACAACACAGTCTGGTTGGGAGATGGGATGTGCATACAACATAAGAGCTGAGGACTCAGGGGAGGGTTATCTGGAGGGGCTGCAGGGAAGAAGTAAGCCTGAAAAGAAATAACATACCTTGGGGCGCCTGGGTGGCTCAGTCGGTTAATCGTCTGCCTTCAGCTCAGGTCATAATCCCAAGCTCCTGGGATCAAATCCGGCATCGGGCTCCTAGCTCATCGGGGAGTCTGCTTCTCCCTCTGCCTCTGCCCCTCCTCCACTCATGTGTTCTCACTCTCTCACTCTCTCTCAAATAAATAAATAAAATCTTAAAAAAAAAAAAAAGGAAATGACACATCTTGACTGGCCATGAGGATGGCAAACACATTCCAGACAGAAAAAAAAAAAAAAACCCCACTCATTCATTCATTCATTCATCCCACAAGAAATTATTGGTCTGCTACTATGGTCAAGCATTGTTTTAGGCCCTCAGAATACAAAAACTTACAAAACGTGACCTCTCTCCTGAGCAGGGCTGGGTCTAGGGTGAGGCAAGGAAGGCACCTAGAGGTCACAAAGGACCCGACTCGCTCACTCTCGGGGGGCCAGCCCTGCATTGGCACGATTCTGAGAGTAAGTGCCTCCTTACATGTTGCCCCTTTGGCACCTCACCCCAGTCCTTGCTTCTGAGGGGCTCATAGTCTATGATGAGCAAAGGCCTGAAGGTGAAAAGCCATGACCTCCTTGGTGTAGCATCAAAGCCCTCAGGATTTGGCCCCACCTACCATTTGAGGATCACCTCTTGCTCTTTCTCCCTTAAGCCCTTGCCCAACCAAACCATGTTCATTCTTCTGGAGATAGTGTGCACTTTCACAGCTCCATCCCTCACCTGGAACTCCTCCCCCTCCCCGGGCCCTCTGCCTGGCAAGGTCCTGCCCACCCATCAAGACAGCTCAAGCAGCACCTGCTCCCGGGTTCACTCTTAGTCACCAGGACCATCACTGGCAACCCTAATGCCCCGGGCAAGGACAAAGATTGACGGGGTTGTGCCCGATATGGCTAGGCTATTGTTAAATAGGTACTTGGAAGCTTCCTATTTTAAATAATCGTTCTTCCTACAGGTGTCTTGTTGCGTAGGAGGAATGTCCTATCATCAGGTAAATGTAGCAACATGTTTTGTTACAAAATCTAAAATCATTTTCCCCCAAATGTCATACCCTCTGTATTTGGCTGGTCTGGAACAAAACCCTGGTGGTCCGAGGTCCCACTCTGCCCATCACTTCCCTCCAGAAGATGAGAGTTTCCCTCTGTGAGCTCCAAGGCCCCCCTGCACATTCTGCCTTAGCACAAGCATCCCCTCCGACCTGCACAGCCAGCTTCCCAAGGGCAGGGGCTGTCCCTGTTCATCTCTAGATCTCTGGCACATAGCACGGGGCCTGGCACACAATCAGAGTGGTGACTGAGCTGACTGGATGTGCTGGGGGCCAGGGGTGGCATCGAGGGGAGCATTGGCTCAGACAGAGCACGAAATAAGAGGTAATCAAGGCGTGGGCAGGTGCCATTCCAGGCAAAGAGAGCTAGGCTATGTGTGTGAGTCAGCCGGAGCGAGGGGAGAAAAGGATGACAGGCCCCTAAAACTGCTCCCCTCCTTCAGAGCAAAGTCAAGTGCCTCTGGCAGGCAGAAGGGGCCACGAGGAGGCCTGGGCACACCCATGAGGCTGGATCCAGATCCAGGCCCTGTGCTCAGATGAGAATCTCCTCACAGCATGCCAACGGATGCCTCATCGAAGAGAGAAATTGCAGAGAAATTACAACCCCTTGTTGTGACTTCTCCCACAGAACTAAAAACAGCACATCAGTCCCACGCTCTCTATCCAGATGGATTCTGCAGCCTCTCTACCCCGAGGGAGATCGAGGGTGGGGCGGACACTAGCCTGGGAGGGGGCTCATGGGGGAGGACAAACCTTGAAGCTCAGAGTGAGTGGCACCGTGGGCTGGGTTTGTAGCCCTGGAGGCGAATCACAGTGTGCTCCCCATACCACCCCCATGACACCCCGATCCCAGGGGGAGCCACAGAAGCGCCAGGGGACATTAGTACCAGCCAAAGAGCCAGCACCTGGGAAAAGATCTCTGAGCCCCGAGTAAGAACCATCCTAATCATTCCTCCACCTCAGAGCAAATGGAAGCACAGTCCAGAAGGCTGAGTTGAAGGGATATTGCCTCCCTCCTTTGGTGAAGCCCAGGACGGAGAAGGGCACTTCAGCCTCCAAGCTCCCCTCCAGCCCCCAGCATCCCTCACCTCCAGCAGCCCTCCCTGCAAAAGCATGAAAATGTGAGCAATTCTCTCAGCAGGGCGATTTCCCTTAGCCCCTTTGCTATCTTTGGAACTGTACTGTGGGGTTTTCTTCACTAAGTGTGCTTCCTGAGTCCCAGCTCAGTGGGCATAAGGGGGTTTGGAGAGGAGGCTGTGCCCATGGGTTGTCCCTTCCCTCAACAGGATCAGTTGATGATGGGGGAAGGGGACCAACCGAGTTTTTTCCACCCCCACTGGGGACAGAAGCATGTGGCCAGGCTAAAGGGCGAAGGGCTCCCTTGGGATCAACCCCCCCAATATATATATATTCATCGGCTTTTCCATTCATTTTTTTTTTAAGATTTTATTTATTTATTTGTCAGAGAGAGGAAGAGCACACATGCGCACACAAGCAGGGCGGGGAACACAGCCTGGGGAGCGGCAGGCAGAGGAAGAAGCAGGCTCCCTGCTGAGCAGGGAGCCCGATGCGGGGCTCGATCCCAAGACCTGGGATCATGACCTGAGCTGAAGGCAGACACTTCACTGACTGAGCCACCCAGGCATCCTGGGTTTTTCTACTTAAAAAAACTCACTATGAAAAGTATCTATTTGGTCCCTGTATAATTATGCCCCTTCCCCTTAGCACTTAGGATCAGTGGTTAAAATTGGTGTTCTAGGGCGCCTGGGTGGCTCAGTCAGTGAAGCGTCTGCCTTCGGCTCAGGTCATGATCCCAGGGTCCTGGGATGGAGCCCTGCATCGGGCTCCTTGCTCAGCGGGGAGTTTGCTTCTCCCTCTGCCCCACCCCCACCCCCTCCCCATTCCCCCATCCCCCCCACACGCCTGCATGCACGCTCTCTCTCTCTCTCTCTCCAAAATAAATAAATAAAATCTTTTTTTAAAAAAGCGGGTGTTCTAGTGTCAGCCTGTCTGGTTGTCTAGCTCCCCTACTTCCTGGTCCAGCTGTATGACCTTGGGCAAGTTACTTTACCTCTCGGAGCCTCAAGTTTCCTCACTTGTAAAGGATGCTAATTGGACATCTTGGCATAAGGGTTCAATAACTTGTAGCTTCAGCGACTGTCAATCTATGGTGGGCATAGAGACGTGCTGCCCAGATCCCCCTTCAGGAAAGGACTCACTGTCCAGCTGTGAGGGGTGGGGAGTGTGGGGAAGGCTCAGCACACGGTCTCCGGTCTTCAGCTCCTTTAGGGTCTCTCAGCTGCAGAGAGCCTCTTGGCCCCAGGGCAGCCTTCCCCAGATGACTGAGCAAGGAGGGGCCACAAAGGTCCCACCACCTTGCCCGGATACAGGGCGCGCTGACAGGCCCTTCTTGCTCCAGTGCCCCCCGGAGAGTTGGCTGAGGCTTTGTTGGGCGTCCCAGTTCCACTTTCCCCTCTTCCCAATCCTGTTTTTTCTCCCTTCCTTTCACATGTGTTGATCCCCAGTAAACTGTGTCAGCCTCCGCTTCCAGGGAACCCAGCCTATGAAACATGATTCATTATTTTGGACCCATGCCACCAGTTCAACAAGCCCTGGGTCCAGACTTGGCCACTGTTTCGTTTCCCTGAGTCACTCCAGGAGGCCCAGGGTGTCTGCAGACCACAGTGCTGCAGCAGTGGGGACCAAGGCAATGCCAATGGTTGGTCAGAGCTCAGGATGGTCATGGCCTGCCCCAGTAGTGGCCGTCCTATGCCAGACCTACCAGCTGCTCACTACGGTTCAATGGGACCCTCCCTCCCTCCCTTCCTCCCCCTCTTCCTTCTTTCCCTCCTTCCTTGCCCGGCTTACAGTTAGCCTACAGTCTAGTTAAAAACAACTCAATTTGTCATGATAAGCATTCAGCTAGAGAATGGCATTGATCACAAAGGGGCACCCAGAGGATCAGGAGAGGCTTTCTGGAGAAGGAGAGGTCTTTGTTGAGTCCTACAGGACAGGTAGGAGTTGGGCAGCCGAAGGGGGTGGAAGGAGATGTTCTAGGGAAAGGGGAAGCTCCTATCAGCCTGGACCAGGTATCCTTGCACTTGCTGGGATGCTGGGGGCAATTGCCAGTTTCCCTGAAAGCAACTTTGCTTCCTAAGGACTCAAGTTCAAAGAGTCAGCAGAAGAGCCTGTAGACATGGCCCCCTCTCAGTTAACAACCCATCTGGTTCCCAAAGATGGCTATTACATTGACCTTTGAGCTCATCTTCTCCAGCTCATAACCCACCTCTTTCCCTCATTCCCCGTAGGTCCCACGTGCCAGCCCCATCATCGCTCTCACCCTCTACCCTTTCCCTTTCCACATGCCCCCCTCTGCAAATGCCCCTTCCAGCCCAGAAGCAGGTGACAGGGCTCAGGACATGCTACCCCCAAATTATGGCATCTTGACATAGTGAATATTTTAAGCTGAAGGAGTTTGAGAAAGTCTGAGAAAACAGCATGAACAGGAGGCTCTCTCTGAACCCTTCTCCCCTGAAGCAGGTCATAAGACCCTCTCACGACAGGTGTCCTCCCTGTACCCAGAAGAAAAGAGCATTCTATCCTCCAAGAAGGAGGAAGACTGAGAAAGAACTGAACCAAGAGACCTTGCTAAGTTTCTCCCAGTTTACTACCCTTATTCACGCTCTTTGACATATTCTGTTTCCACACACTGTCCACTCTTCATGAAACCTCACATG